GAAAGCGAGAAGACACTGGAGTAAATTCAGGACCTCTTAGAAATCATGTATTAATAGATGATAATCAAATATCTATTTTACTTTAGTATTTGACATAATGAAACATTAACCAATTAAACATTATTTAACATTGCAAAGCAGATAACTGTTTCTTTCTAACTTTCTTTGATTCTTTGGACTATTATGATTGTCAATGGATTATTTGGGTGTCATTCCTTTATGTTATTACGTTATGGATACTAATTCAAAATGAATTAGAGTTTGCCACTGCTGGTTTTTTTAACCAAAAGAAGAATGAGAGTAACTGTTCAAGACCATGGGGTAGAAGAGAGTAGTTTTATATCTCATTAATGGCATTTTCCTGCCAGAGGGTACTGAGAGTTGTCATGAACTTCATACCTTTTATTACTTAGCTTATCATTGGGGCTGTTCAGAAGTTGCCTAACAGAGAAAATAAAATTTCAACTTCAAAAAGCTTTTGGAAGCTTCTCTTGCATGATCCCTCCCATTCAGTCTTCATTGAGTTTATTTGAACAAATCTGACTCCCCATTTTTTTAAAGTGATGGACCAAGAAGCTAGAGAGAAAATTGTGTACAAATAGATTTGAAAGAGCGAGAATCAGATGTGAAATGCTAAAGATAAAGCATAGCTCAACAACTTAGAGATTTTTCCTTGGGAAATAATAGTGATGTGTGTCCATTAGATCTTCTCAGAGGCAGTCAAATCTTTGAAAGCTGGCTATATGTGCCAAATCTTAGAATTTTGGTGCCAAAGTGTTCTAAGACAAAAAAGTTTGCATTCTTGTCCAAAGGCCTACAGTAACTACAGGTACTATATGTGCTCACTTGTAAACCTGAAGCTTACATCTATACTTATATGGTTTTCATTTATATTAACCTCCTTTTCAGTTTGCATTAAAAAAAAAACCTGAACATACTCCCCCTTTCCATTTGTCAAGCTTTAATTTTCACATTCCATTCGGCTGATATATCCTACTATTGTACTGCAAAATTACTCATTCTCCTTCCTGAGTCATAACTTCCAAATTAGAGGTGGTGTTTTCTATCATCATAGAATTTGTAATGTATGAAGGTGATAAATTAAAATCAAAACTTGTTATTTTTTTAACAGTTAAAATGGCTTAAAATATATTTATAATATTTTCTGTTAGATGCATCAGGCTATGCAAGGGAAAAAATAAAGACGACAGTTGAATATTGAAAGTTGATTCTGAGTCCTACATCACCCTAATGCCTTTTCAGTAATCAGAAATTTCCTATTTCTGAAATACAATTTGTTTAAGATTTCTGGAAATTAAAAAGAACATTCTTATTGACATTTTAATGTATTGTTATGAGGTGAAAGGTATTTAAAAAAAAACACCGGTATTGTGTGCGTGTTTGTGTGTGTACCCTATGCTGGAGCATTCTTAAAATAGTTTACAATATAAAGAATATGATGTATTTTTTCCATCGCTGTTTACCTTATCCTATAAATCACATTCTCCTAACCCATTCTCCTTTTCCTTTCATGTTAGTTTGTATTTAAATATTTGTTTTTGAAACCTAATAAAGATACCATGTTTCTCCAACAATACAGCCTCCACCAATAGGAAGGCCCAGCATGATTTCTAGGCATGAGATGAAATTAAGCCTCACCCCCAAAATTTAGGCCTATTTAAACCATGCGTTTCCCTGCCATTTCTCACATCATTCGTTAGAACTACACGAGGTGAAGAGAAATGGGGGAGAAGGGCGGGGGGGAGAAAACTTGCCTTTAGGAGTGCCCTGCAGGTAGCCTAGGCTAGAATACCCTGATCTACCAATAGAACATCAGCCAATAGAAGCTCCCTGAAGGCAGAGTCCCCAGCCGCTTCAGGGCGTGGTGTGGCTGCCCGTGTCCCCTCGCCTTTAGGCAGTCTCTTTCGAGCGATGGAAGCTCTTCAAGTGCAGTCACCAGCCACTTTGATCGGCCGGTAGTAGCGGCCTTGGGGCGAGCGCACACACACACACTCCCCTCGCCGTGAGGCCGCTTCTATCGGCCGATCGAAGTGGCTGGTGACTGCACTTGGGGAGCTTCCATCGCCCAAAAGAGACTGCCTAAAGGCGAGGGGACATGGGCAGCCATGCCCCAAAGCGGCTGGGGACTCTGCCTTCGGGGAGCTTTTGTCGGCCGATAGAAGCGGCCTCGCGGCGAAGGGACTGTGTGTGTGCGCGCTCACCCCGAGGCCGCTACTACCGGCCGATCGAAGTGGCTGGTGACTGCACTTGGGGAGCTCCCATAGCCCGAAAGACACTGCCTAATGGCAAGGGGACACGAGCAGCCACGCCACGCCCCGAAGCAGCTGGGGACTCTGCCTTCGGGGAACTTTCATCGGCCGATAGAAGCGGCTTCGCGGCAAGATACGTGCATATGGGCCGCTCTAGGTGAGGGAGGAAATTAAGTCACCCCCGAAAAGATGGCCTTGCCGTTTTTTCGGGGGTCAAAAAAAAGAAAAGGCCCGGCCTTATTTTGTGAGAAACACGGTATTTAAAAATATATATATATATATAAGAAGCAATACATTAAAGCTTAAAATATGTGGATAGATTTGTTACCCCAAAAGTTAATGATTGCTCAGTACTGAATGCAGTTACTCTTGTCTTTTGAACTTGTATTCTTTCTGTTTTACTCCTTTAGTTTTAAGGATTGAATGTGTACACATGGTATTCCTGATCTTGTAACAGTTAGAAAATGAAATAAAACATACACTTGTTGAGGGTAGAAGAAATGGGAATGGAGTCAGAAGGAGAGAACAGTTGGAATAATATTGTCCTTGATTACTTATGGCTAAGGAGGAATCTGTGCTGGAATGTAGTCTGGATTCCCAGGATGGAGGGGTGCATTCCAGAGGAAGAAGAGAGAATTCTTTAGGTAGTTTTGTGGGTGGAAAGAGGGTGAAGATAACCCTCCCCAATAGTTCCCGGAATATGCTTCCTGTAGATAATAGTCTGCTTTAGTTTGACAAGATTCTATTTATAGGTGTGGAACAATTAACAAATCTGCTTGGAAGTGTAACTATGTATCTTTCTTGATTGTTGGAACCTGACAAGAATCTTTGTCAAGAAAAATTACGATGTAAGAGGAACACTAAATTTATCATTGCTATTTTTTAAAAGAACTTAAGGATCCTTATATCAGTAAATGCTCTGTGCATTATTATAATTTATGCATACACCAAAATAGCAAAATGAATTAGATGGTCCTATGCTGAAACTAATTATGAAGATATTTGGCTTTTTAGATTCTTGATTAAAGCAATGGGGAAAAAAGGAAATATTTGGATTTTTTTTTAAAAAAAGTTACAGGGTCTTTTTTGTTTGTTCTGTCAGATTAAAAAAATATTATGAATATGTCCTAATTTTTTTTAAATACTTATGAAGTAATTAAGATGAGAAGAAAGTAGGTCTATATTTGGAATTTTCACACTAAATCAAATTAACAAGAGAAAGGTTATAAAGTTTCTTCTTAATATTGTATAGATACATTTTATGAAAGAAGTAGAAAATAATAGAGTCAGAAATTAAAATAGATTATGCAGTGCTTCATGTGGTAAAATGAGTATTTTAAGCTTTGGTTTAATCCACCTCTATCAGTTAGTGCTCCCTGTATTTCTTTAAAAAATATGTCTCTTTGTTTTAATGTGATGTTGTTTGCTGATGTTTTTAACATATTTTTGTCTGCTTGCTTTTCCTAAAATAGGAAAAACAAAATGATATTTTTAAAATAAGCTGTAGTTCCTTTATAACAAAAATTAAAAATACTCAAAGTAAATTCAAACAGTAGGTTTACAATTATCTGAGCAAAGAGTGCTTTTTAATTTTTAAAGTGAACATATTCTTATGAACAAACCAATGTAGTTAATAACTAAAGGAATAATGTTGAAAACGAGTTGCATATTTTGCATTTCTTCCAACCTTTCTAGTTTTTTTCCCTTGTTGCTTCACATTTATATAAAAAATACATTTCTAATCATTATCATGAAAGTTAGTTTTAGACCAGGAATGGATAATTTGCCCTTAGAGCCCTGTCAGCAGTTGCAGCAACTGGCAGCATAATTTCTGTGATTTTGGATAAAAACACATAAAAAGCAGTATAGGCACTAAGTAGTCTTAATGTAGTTTAAAAACAAACCCAAGAAGTAGAAAAATTATGACTCCATACAGATGTATGAGAATTGACTTTTTCCACTTGGCGTCATTATCATGTGTTTCTTGTTTTGCCCAAAGACTGTAGATGCTACTGCTGCCTTTGACCCTTATTTACAAGAGCCACCAAGTTAGGCCTTTAAAGTCAATCTTAAAAAATTTCCTTACATGAAATAGGATCATTGAAAACCAGCAGCAGAATTATGTCACTATTTAATAATCCCAAATGCTTTTAGAACATGAATGTCACATTTCATAATTTGTACTTGACAGTGTTTCTGTGTTTCTGAAATGTCAGGCAATGAAATATGAATTAAAATTCCAGGCACTTCCCTTAATGATTTTGGAGAGTTTACACTGACAGCGTATAGAAATTTTTGTGATAGAATGTAATGTGAGTTTCTGAACAACTCTCATGAATGGGAAGAGATCATAGAGCACTGACTCCAGGATTTTCCTTTAAGAACACGTGTTTTTGCTGCATCACTGTGGTTGAATGATCCATTGATTCAGAAATGCTGGGCAGAATTATTCACCCCTCCTGCTGTGAAAGAGGCAGAGCTGGAACAGCAATTCATGCTGAGGTGCTGCAAAGATTTGTGCTGTCTCACGAATTTGTATCTTGCACTTCCATGAAGCTTTAATTTAATTTGTGTAATGTATATCTCATGGCTCACTACATGAGAATTTGTTCTTGATGCAATGGGTTGCTCTTATCTTGCATGTTTTCAGTTAACGAGAAAGCATTGAACACATATTTCTTGTAAATGTATTATCACTTTGTAATTTTTTTCCTTTATTTTCTTTAAAAGATATTTGATTTAATGGATGCAAAGGCACGTGCTGACTGTATTAAGGAAATTGATCTCCTTAAGGTAATTTTCTTTTCTTTTCTGGAATGGATATATTCTGGCATTACAATTTTGATAACAAAAGAAGCAATGAGTTATCGGATATAGGTAATTTTGGGCATGTTATTACATGTGAATAGCAAGCTATCTTAGCTTAGAGCTTCACTGAATAGTCAATAGGTCAGTTTGAATTAAAATTTTATGTCAGATTCACATTCATCTGTGGAATTTGAAGCAGACTATATCTGGCCTAGTGACTTCCTTCCTTGGGGAAGGAGAATGAATCATGAAAAAGCACCAAAAATCTTCCAGTTACTTAAAACTGTGACTAAATAGGTCTTGCCTCTTACTTTACAACAGATATATGTGATGAAGTGAGCCATAGTTTAAGAACTTTACCAAATAATAAATTGATCCAACCTTTAATCCAAAGATTTAATATGAATTTTTGTTACTTTTCTCTATAGACTAATTTGGCTCTTATCTAGAAATTAATTTAAACATACACATTTTATAAATTGGGGGGGGGGGTCTCAACTCCACAGGGTAATAGATTATATGCTATATTTTAAATTAAAATATAACTTAAAATTTATTTTAAGTTACCTGTAATTTTAAATAAAATCAGTTGTTTACCCATGGGTTATAGAGTTCTTTTTTTTTTTTTAACATGCTACCTTTTTCTACCGCCTTCCCTTACTTTGAAATGTATTTGTTATATGGGTGGTGATAAAGGCGTAAAGGAACATAAACATATTCACAAAAAGCAAAATGCATAACAGAGAATATATATATTGTATTACACTTGAACCAATTACTGTATTTTTTGTTGTCAAAGCTTGTAAAGTAATAGGTTTCCATTTTGCTTTATTTTTAAAATGTTTCTAAAATCTGTCTAATAGCAGTTAGTGTTTGCTAGAGGGAAAAAGCTGTTGCTTGTTTTAAAAATGTTTATTATAACATCTGATTTTAAAAAATTAGATATGTAACCTATGTTTTAGTTATTATATTTACATATATAATTATATTTTTATTATATTTTTTTATTGATACAGATAGCCCTTAACTTATATCTGGTCATTTAGCGACCATGCAAAATTTTGGCACACTTCCCCCAGGCTACTCATGGCTCATTGAAATCTTGGTGGCTAGGTCACTTCCCCATGGTCATATGATCACATTTTGCAACTGACCACATTTATGATTACTGTATTTGCAGCGTCCCATGGTCATGTATTTACCATGGGGTGTTTTTTGCACACACACACCCCCCCCCCCCCGCATTTCAGTTTTCAGCAAAAAAAAATGCAAATTTTCAGATAATGGATGTGCTTAATGACTATGGTTTTTGCTTTATGACTGCCACATCTGTATAACAAACCACCACAAAAACGGTCATAAAATTGGGTATAATCCTGCGGTAACTCACTTAACAATCAGCATGACTTATGTCCATAATTACAGTCATAAAATCAAAGACTGTCTGTACACATGTACATTAACCTGTCCATAACTTTATCTTTTCAAAAGTTTCTTCTGCAGCATGCTTGAAATGATACCTCAAACTTTGCACTAGAAAAGCTAACATTTTTAGGTTTTAAATTATTTTATGTATTGTTTTAATATGATGCTACCATTGAAAACATTCGCTAGAGTTGGTATTGGAATCAGCCACTGTCAGGAAAAAAAGTGGAATTTTTACAAAAAACATTGGGCATTGGCAGAGTATAGATCCTTGCACAGAGCAGGTTTCAACATAGAGAAAACCTATTTCCTAATTGTCATAAGCAGTTATTTTTATTCTGTTAATATATGCAGATCTTGAATCCTAGTGACTACTTGAACAAATCCCGACTCTGTAGTTTCTTCCCCAAACCCCAAAAACTTTAACCTTAGACTGTCTACTATTGACCTCACCCCTTTCCTAAGAGGTCTGTAGGGGGCGTGCATAAGCGCACCAACGTGCCTACCGTCCCTGTCCTATTGTTTCTCTTATTCTTCTTTTATTTTTCTTATATGTATCAATTTCATGTATTCACAACTATGTATACACTTATACTTATTATCTTGTAAACAATTGGCAAATCAAATAAATAAATAAAATAAATCCCTGCTGGTTTCTTAAAGTCTTTCAAAAATAGTTTGCCATTCTTGCTAAGTCTGAGAGAAAATGATCGGCCCAAACTCATGAACTGGCTTTGTGCCTAAAGCAAGGCTTAAACTCACTCTCCTAGTGCCTTTAACCACTATGCTAAACTGGCTCTATAAATAAAACATATTTATTTTTATTATAATTGTATTATATATTTAAAACAAAATACATTTTATATATTATAATAAGTACTATAAATATAATTAAAATTTAAAAACAAAATAGAAATAGATTCCTCTTTTATAATAAAAAAGGAAAAGATCCTGAAAAGAGTTTGGTTTACTTTGGCTCTCTTAACAAGGATTGCACTGACTTGTAACTTGGGGTTCTTCAAGTGTTTTTAAACCTGGCAAGTATGGAAATAATGAATATGAAAATGATGTTTTAATTATAAAATAAGAAAAGTTATTTTCCCACTTGGGGAGATTTAAATGGCAGAGCATATATGTTATCATTTTTACTACTTGTTTATTGTATTTGTGAATAGTAGTCTGTAGACTGAAATAATTTTGTTTTCCTAGCAATTGAACCACCCCAATGTAATCAAATATTATGCATCATTTATTGAAGACAATGAACTAAACATTGTGCTGGAATTAGCAGATGCTGGAGACCTTTCTAGGATGATCAAGGTATGAGTTTTTCTTGTTAGGAGGAGTTACACATAATGATAAGGAGTAAATTTCATTCAATCTAAAAAATAAAAGAATAGCTAATGTTGTATTCCTTATAATAGGTATATGTACATCTTATCTAGTGAATTGAGACTTTTACAATATAACCAGCTGCCAAACATTATATCTTATTGTCAAATAAATTATATAAGAAAATATAGAAAAACATAAAATTATTCCCCAAATTTGCAATATGAGCCATAATAGTATAATTGGATTCCTATTCCCTTCAAGTTTTACCCAGAATTCAATGATAAAAACTAATTAGAACTTGAACATGTTTAAGAATGGGCCCAACCAGACATATTTATATTTGGGAACAGTTGTGTCCTCGGAATAGACCTGTTGCCTCCCAAAAGACACGTGGATACTTTCCAGCAGTCATTCGCCAGTTGGAAGGAGTTGCTTTCAAAAATTCTATAAGATTCTCTTTCTATTGTATAGAAGTGAGGAAAAGATGAATTAGGAATCAGTATGGCAATTGATAGTGATTTTTAAAGCTATTTTTGGATTCTCTAAAGCAGAACTGGAATCAATACTTAAGCAAGTAGCCCATTGTGATCTCTTCTTTCTTCACCTATATTAATCTACTTTCTTATCCCTCAGTGTCTATGGAGATTCTTAGTCATCCAGGCCATGGTTGTCCCAAAGAGGTAACTGGACTTTCAGGTTTTTCTTTGAAGATGTTTCATTTCGCAAAACATTTTCAAAGAAATCAGAGCTGAAGAAGCTTCTTGGATGAGAAGTGAAACATCTTCAAAGAATAACCAGAAAGTTCAGTTGCCTCTTGCTTTTTTAAAAAATTAACTCTAAAAGTCAATTATTCATTTTACCAATTTGTGTATTTAAGTAAATAACTATAAGATGAGTGTATGTAATATATATATTTCATAGCTATACAATTTCTTTATTTCATTTCATCCTAATTTTTCTTCCACCACAATAGCATTGTTCTTCAGATTACATTAGTTAACAATTAAGTACAGTGTCTCATGTTTGTTGAAGTACAATTTTATTTCGCTACTATACTTTAAAAATAGAAATTTATTTTGTATGTTCCTTGGAAGAGAATACAGTGGAATTCTTTTTTTATTTTGAATAATGTTTCTTGCCAAAATGACAGTTTTAAGTTAGCTAATTAATAATAGGATACATAGATGAATAATGTTTTGGTAAATTAACCAAACTGAATGCATTTGCTTAAGTTATACTGTGTGTTTTTTTCTTTTAAATGTGTAATGCATATTTATGTAATCTGTCTACCTGTTTTTAATTTTGGCCTTTTTATTTGGAAGAAACAGTGTACTGCCTTGCTTTTAATATATATTCTTTTATTTGATTGCAGTGATATGGTTAGCAGTTTCTTTTGAAAAATTGTAAACTAGAAATAATTTTATATAGTTTTCTAGATTTCTATAGTTTTCTAGATTTACGGATTTACTTATTACTTATTTTCCACAATATTCCACATATGTAGAAATATTAGGCTTCCATTCCAATTTTTGGAGAATATCAGAATGGGAATACTGATTTACTTTTAGTACAGTTACCCCTTAGGTAGTTCTTCAGTGAAGACAGTTCTGAATGTAATCATGTCCTTGTGTAAATCACAGTTTGAATCTATGGTTAGTAAATTTACCAGTTAATGTTACTGTACTTGACTCTATTAATCCCCCTCCCCTTGCTTTTGTTCATGGTCAGATTTGATTCCATTTTTTTCCTCATTCTGTTCCATGGTATTTTCAGTTGCCTCTTAAGATACACATCATGTTTTATGTAGTGAGTTCAGATTACCATTTGAAGTTAATGACAGCTTATCTGGCTATGTTTAAATATGCATAAGGTGTCATGGTATAGTAACATTTTCTTAGTTCTTGTACTATGAATTTATGTTAGAAATATAAGAGGGAGGGAGGGAGGGAAGTGCAGTAAATGCACTTCCAGCTACTTTTTAGGTGACAATTTGAGGAGAAAAGATATATAACCCAATAGAAAAATGATAATGCCCCTAAAGGTTCATTGCTTGTTATGTGAATAGAGAGAATCAAACTAAAGAAGCAGTAATTAAACTCAAGGTATTAATGGGCTTCTGTTCCTACTTTCATTAGATTCTTTTGGTGTATATTTAGCATGGAATTGTTCTATCCAGTAGCACTGCACATTCTTTGAAAACAGTCGGAGGCCCTGATGACTACAGGCATCACACCTCTTGGCTATTCATTAAAGAGTCCAATCTCTGTTAGGCTGCTGGGCAGGCCTGAAAAAAAAGGTACTGTTTTAAGACTTTCCTGAACTGTAATGAGTGGATTTCTTAAACCAGTGGCATCTTTTTTTTCAGGCTTTCATAGAAGTCTGAAAAAGATCACTTTTTTTAATGATCAGCCAGAAGGTGCTATGCTTCCTTAAGATCAGAAACTTCCTTTAAAAATAGACATAGGAACAAAGTGCTTTAAAACATTATAATAAATATTTATTATGTAATGCATATATCTCTATTTTACTAACTCTGTTAACCTAAATAAGTTTATATACTGTACTTTGCACTGTTGTTTACAAGAAAATTTTCTCATTTATAACTGTATGGCTTTTTAAAAAGAGAAACTTTGCACTTGGCAACCTAAGGGTGAATAAGCAAACAAAATATTTGGGGAAAAATTCTATTAAGCAAACAAAACTAAGAAACAGCCTGTGTTAGAGGAAAAGGAGAAAAATGCAGAAATCAGGCTATTCAAGTATGTCTTCCTGTTGATTTTTAAATATTCACAGCTCTCATATACCAAGCATCTTACTTAATGAGCAAAACAGACTATGCTTGTGACTGTATGCTATTATTATACTATTGAATAGGGCTATGAAAAATGTACAAAAGAGATGTCTTGCAAGGTGTATTATATGAATGAAACATTTCTCTTTGAAGTATTAAAACAAAGCATATGGCTGCTTTGAATGTTGTCCCTGATTTTCTTTGTGTGCATGTGCACATGCATAATACCAGGAAAAATGTTGGAGCTACACACCTGCACAGGTATACAAATACAGCATTCAGACAATAGCTTTTGTGACAGTCATAAAGTAATAACTTAAGATACTCTTTTTCTGGTGCATCTCTGAATTCTTATGTTTGTCACTTAATTAACCAATACATTTTGGGGGGGGGGGGGGCATAGTAACATAGGACATCAGTGGTGCAAAGGATTTTGTATCCAATCTCATGTTCTGGTTATAAAATATTAATGAAATGTGGATTTATTATTGCAGTGCTCCTTCATAAGAGCATAATGGTCTAAAAAGATGGATCCCTTAATGGATCCTGGGTATAAGAATACTTTGAAAGTTCCCTGTCTGCATATCTGATTCTCCCAACAGTCCTGATTTCATTATGGAATTCAGAAATGACTCAGAGTAATATATCAGTTGATGTAATTATTGTCACTAATTAGAATTTATTTGGCTCTTCTATATAGCAAGAGGTTGGGGGGTGTGGTGATGTAATATAAGATACTCCTCAAAGTACTACCATTTGTTCAGCAACGTTTGAATTTATAATGGCACTGAAAAAAAGTGACTTATGACTGGTCCTTGCACTCATGACCATTGCAACATTCCTTGCAGTCACATGATCAAAATTTGGGTGCTTGGCAACTGGCGTGTATTTACAACTGTTGCAATATCCTGGGGTCATGTGATCACTATTTGCAGCCTCTCACTTGGTTTTTGATAAGCAAAGTTAGTGGGGGAAACTGAATTCGCTTAATGACTGCATGTTTTACTTAACAATTATAGTGATTTGCTTAACCACCATGTGAAAAAGGAGATAACATTGGGTTTGACCCACTGAACAACAGAAATTCTGCCCCCAGTTGTGGTCATAAGTGGAGGAATACCTTTAGTAAGATAATAGTCGGATGCAGATGGGAGAAAACTCCAGACAAGTGTGAGGAAACAGCTTAAGAGCTTAGCTTATTTCTGTGTCGATATAAAGAAGAAATATTTTTCCATGCTATTGCATTGGCATTGCGCAGTCCAGTAAAACTGTCTTGAGTGCTTAAGGGGTTCCTTTAATTTGATCCCATGGGTTATTGTGGAGAACCTCAAATGCCCACTGTGAATATTTGCAAAGCACTTTCAGGGTAAAATTACTCACACCCATCACAATAATAGGATAAAAAAGTAATCCTTTTCTTTCTTTACAGTGAAGTCTAGGTAAACTTTAATCCTTGAAAAGCCTGAGTAGGTTTGAGGCTGTAGGAGAAACCAGAAAGAGTAGGCATGTATATGAATTACCTTTTTGTGTAAATCCATCTTGATATCTGAACGATTCTGTACTGATGTGAGAGTTGAATAACAGTTTGAAAAGTACTACTGCTATAGCTATATTGTGGCTCCACTGTCAAACTAAAACCAGCTCCCTTCCCTTCCTCTTCTAATATATGTTGCTCTTTGGCAGCATGTCCAGATAATTATATACAAAAAAGAAAGAAAGGGGAAAAAAAGAAAACCTTATTAGAATCTGTTATCTTACTGCACAAATAAAACAATTCATTTAAACAATTCAACTTGGAAAGCAGCTTTATCTGATACCAAACTAAAGTAAGGCACACTTCACTTTGAAGTGATTCTCACAAACTTGATGCCATCAGTTAAATGATATCATGACTTAGAACAATGATGGCTAAACTTTTCCATGTCGCATGCCTGCACCCATGATGCAATGCACGCACGACTCCCTGTGCATGCACCGTATGCCTTTGCACATGCGCACGCAACCCCCCGTGCTGCATGTTTCTGTGCATGCCCGTGCGATCCCCCATGTGCTCCCTGTGCATGCATGCACGTCTCCTGTGAGAGTGTCTCCCCCATGCATGCACGGCAGCTACCTGACAATCCACTGGCTGGCGGGCACGCACGCATGTGCAGTGGGGCTCTTACGGGCAACCTCTTGCTTGCTGACAGAAATG